TTTTCAATAATTGTTAATTATTTATAATTATGTATTGATATATTTTTAATTATATGTATATACATAATTATTTTAACTGTTTTTATAAATAATTAATTGTGTATTATCAATAATTATATATAAATATATTGAATTTTATTAACAGTTAATTATCAATAATTATGCATTGATACAGTTTTTTCTAACATAATTTTAAACTTTATCCAAAGTCTAGTTAATTTAGTAAAGTGATGCAAGTCAAAAGGTGCCTGAATCCTGACAGTCATGTGCAGTCAAAGTTCAATATTGTGATGTTATGTAAAGTGTCCATGTGATCGTCATAATCCCTGTGTCATATTTACAACCACCTCTGATACACACACACACACACACACACACACACACACACACACCAGACTCACATCTCTACACCGCAGTTATTAAAGTTGTCAGAGGATTTGGCTTTTATAATGATGATTTTAATCTGATTAAATGCACCACGTTGCTGTTTTTAGAGCTCGCCGTGGTCCCTGATTTAATCGCTCACATTTTGAGTGTCATACGTGTGGCGTGAGACTTGTTTTCAATTGCTCTGCAAGGCTAGACGCTGACACACACGATCACCTCTGCACAAAACCGCTGCTAGTCTAAACCTTTCAAAGCCATCGGACCTCTCGCATCTTGTCAGGTCTCCATAGCAACAGCAATTTCCCCTCGCCATCGCTTTGAAAGCACATTCACCCTTTCTTTTTAGTCTGGGATGAATCACTCCGTTTGGGCATGTTCTGATGCTTAGAGATATATAATTTGTATAATGTATAAAAGTTTCTTTGCGAGTTCATCTCGCAGATGGGGGCCAAGTTTCACTCAATTATTCAGTGCCAGCAGCGGCAACCCGACACGAGACGCGCCGCAGCTTTCTCCCGGTGAGAACGCACCCAGAATAGCATCAGTACGGCAACTGATATGCACACAAATCCTCTTTACTGGCCTCCTCGCTCAGTTTGAGACGAGAGCAGGTGTGGTTGGCCTGGATTTAATGGATTACATACAGCAAATGAGGTTAAAATGCACAGTGTGCAGCTCAGCCAATCAGAAGCTGCTTAACCTACACGTTCCGTCAGACCAGCCAATCAGATGCAGGGTCATTTGCATATGGGAGGACGGGTGTGAGCATGCTTTTCACATATTGTCCGCTGTTTGGGAATATCATGGTGGTTTTTTGGGCTAATGAATGTTTGATTGTGAATGGAGAAGGTTGGACGTAAAACTTCTGAATGCATGAGTGTGGCGGTTAATTGATTAATTAATCTTCCTGCACACAAGGCAAGTACTTAGACTAGTGCTCTAATGTTTAGTTAGTGTGTATTTAGTATAATTAGATGACAATATGTCATTTTTATAGTTGTGTCCTCCTACGCTTGCAATAGAACCAGTGTTGGGGAAAGTTACTTTTAAAAGTAATGCATTACAGTATTGCGTTACTCCATAAAAAAGTAACTAATTACGTTACTTAGTTACTTCTTATGGAAAATAATGCGTTACGTTACTTTTGCGTTACTTTTAACTCGCGTTACTTGTAATGCGTTACCCCCAACACTGAATAGCACCTGGTGAGAACAGAATTCAAGCATAGTTTCATTTTACATTGGTAAATTGTGGCTGTTTACTGTGAAATCGTATCATTACAAGTGGTTTCCTAAAGGCCTAGTGGGGTATTCAACTTAGAAGATGACTTGAGATGAGTTTCTTGAGGATACTGGTTGTTTGGGCGGTTTGTTTAGTAGCGTTAAATGTGCTCTGACTCATTTAAGCTTATTCGTTAGGCTGCTAATCCAGGCTCATAGGCAGGTTGCATAAGGTTTCCAGTGGCTTCCAAAGCCCACCTTTAGTGCATCGACCAGGTCTCGAGCGCATTGTGTCTCAAAGCATCTTATCTGGTACTTTTGCTTATTTAGCACTCACTTTGAGTCTTATATTTGAGCTTCTTCAACCAACTTCATGAGGTGCATCCTGGGATGCTTGTTAAACAGTATTCACGTGTTTCCTGGACACTTGTTGTCTGCAGTTTTGTTTTTGTAAATAAATTCATAATAACCCACAAATTATATTTGTTTACATTCTTTTTTTAGCAATGCACAATATATCTGTTCCTGAGCTGATATTAGAGAAAGTTTTTTTCATTTATATGTATTGATATTTCATATATCAGCTGATTTAACATAACTGTGCCTGATCTTGTTCCTTATTTATGCGTTTAGATAACCTTGGTAACACTTTAGAATAGGGAACACATATTCACTATAAGAATTACACTGTAAGTATTCATATTCACATAAAAGTTTTCCCTAAACAAAATCCTAATTTGCTGCTTATTAATAGTTAGTAAGCTAGTTGATAAGTTTTGGTATGGAGTAGAGATTAAGGGATCTAAAATACGGTCATGCAGAATAAGGCATTAATATGTGTTTTATAAGTACTAATAAACAGCCAATATGCTAGAAATATGCATGCTAATAAGCAACTAGTTAATAGTGAGAACTGGTCCTTAAATTGAAGTGTTACCATAACCTTTGCTGTCATCTAAAGTGAATTTTTAACACTAAAAATATAATAACATTAATAGATGTAATCCATAGCAAATCTCAAATGTAATTAATTTTTTTATACTGTACATTATAATATTGTGATGACTAACGTTACTTATAGTATTTAAAATGATTAATTGTAGTTAGTGTTTTGTTTTTTTATTATGTAGATAAAATCATATAGAATTTTAATATGCACCACTTATTGTTTATATTACTTGTGATATTACATTGCATGCTCTTTTAGCCTATTTAGACATTTAGATTATCTTTGTTCTCATCTAAGGCTCACTTAACTTGAATCTTTAATGCTAAGCATGAATAATTTATATTTATATTTTTAAATGTAATCTATAGCAAATCTCAAAATATAAAATATACATTTTTCATACTATACATTATAATGTTGTGATGCCTAAGTAGAGAATTTAAAGCAATTTAGTTTAGAGTTTTATTTTTTATATTTAATATATAATAAATTATTTAATATATAATCATAAATTATTTATATTACATTAATTAAGATTATTATGCTTTTAAGATCATGTGAAACATAAATTGCCATGTGTGTCTACACTTTTAATTGGTCGTCATTCACTATCATCATCAGCTGTGTAAACTACACTGTAGAAAAATTATTTTCCAGTTATTGGAGTATGTTTTACAAGAAAATACTATTTCAGTCTTTCTACTTCATTAATTTGATGTGTTACGTGCCAGTTCTTTGTGATTACTTGTGAAATTTACTAGCATTTTCTGAGCATTTTTTTCCAGTGTAGTCAACCACTAGTTACAGAATCATCTTTGTGAACACTGAACAGTACAGTGGTCTGGATCATTAATCACTCTAGTTCAGTTTAACCTGATGGGTTACTCATTTAGTTGAGTGGGAAACAGTTCAAACCGTAACTGGAGATCAGTTTCACACGAG